AAGGTCAGAAAGATCAGGCCAGTGATTTACACTTGTGTGTAACAGTAGTGTGTCTTGAAGTATTACTAGGTGTTCCTTGAAAAAATGATCAATTTGAGTAAACTGACCCTCACATGGATTTGACTGTATAACTGACCATTTTGGAATGACCTGAGTGACTTCTGACCCACAAATCAAGACAAAACTGTTGTCATAACCAAGTGTGAGAAACAGACACAGTGGCATGGATAATATTTGCTACATTTAGGGGTGTCAAATTATCGCGTTAATTGCGATTAATTAATTACAGTCATATTTAGTGCGTTATATTTTTTAATCGCGTTAATCTCATTTTTAATCTCTAACTTTACTGTTTCTGTATGCGAGTTGCTTTATTATAAAACCTGTTTTTATGTGTTGTTGGGACAACAACAACAACACACACACACACAAAAACACATTTATAATTTTTTTTTATTTCGGTAATTCCACTCATTGCCGGAAACCCACACAAAACGCGCGCAGTAACAGCGATGTAAACATTATGTTAACGCTGGCGGCGTCAGTCGCACAATGGACGAAGTCGAAGAGCCAGTAGAACAGAGTCAGCAGCGCACAGGTAAAAACACATTCATGTCTTGGAAATTCTTCTCCCGACGTGAAATATAAAAGAAAATAACAAATATAAAATCGCCTACAACTTAAATGTCACTGGTGAAAACAACCTGCATAGACTCATGATGTCTGCACTACTGTCCTATAGTGACCTGCCACATGAGGGGACACGCACACAACACACACAAACACACACCTTCATCATCGTCATCAACCTGAGAACGCGCGGACCACGTTTCCTTCCGTAGTTACTGCGCGGACACCGACGTGCTCCCGTGAGCCGCGTGTGGATCGAGTTTTCTCGCGTACGCGGCGTAAACCGCGCTTCCTCCTGTGCGCCTCTAAACCAGAACTAACACCAAGACTAAAACCAGGACTAATCCAGTCCAGGACTAAACCAGGACTAAACCAGTCCAGGACTAAACCAGGACTAAACCAGAACTAAAACCAGAACTAAAACCAGGTCTAAACCAGGTCTAAACCAGGTCTAAACCAGGACTAAACCAGAACTAACACCAGGACTAAAACAGGATTAATCCATTCCAGGACTAAACTAGGACTAAAGCAGGTCTAAACCAGGACTAAAACCAGTGATCTCATATATAAAGCATTTCTCTATCAATAATATTTTTTAATATGGTTAAGGAAAGACTGGACTTTTTATTGTTTTTAAGTAGACAAAAGTTATTATGTTCAGATTTCCTAGTCTTTGCTGCTTTACAGCAAAAAGTTTCTTATTCATGGAGACTTGGGCTCAACAGCCAATTTGGAGAGATTTGTTAAACAATAAATTACTTTATAAAGTCACTTTTTTTTAATCTATATCAGTCTTTTGATCTGCCACAATAATGTAATAATGAATTTAAATGAAAATACCTCAAGTTGAAGGCTTTTCTCAGCAATTTTTAGGTGAGATTAAAATGAGATTAATTAGATTAATTAATTACAGATCATAATTAATTAATCTCTAAATTGTTTTAATCGCATGACAGCACTAGCTACATTATACATTTTTTTCTAAAAGGTGCATTTTTGTATATTTGGTATTATATTAAAAGGTGGTGTGTTGAGGAAACTGTGACTCAAGTAAGGCTGAAAAACACTGAATTAGGCTACATATAGATAAGACCAAATGTTAGCATCATCCTCTTGATGCCTGAATTATTTTAACTAGATTTTTGCAGGTTATAGGAGGCCTAAGACAAACTAAACTGCTACATATGTTTATTTTGACTGAACCTTCCTGATGTTGGGAACGAAGACCAGTTATATAAGGCACATTTTCACTTTTCACAAGTATGAAGTTTTGCTTTTGTCAATGAGGTGCAGCTCCCATTCAAACTGACTCAATGTTAAATGAACTCTTTAAAATGATTCACTGGAAGCAGATTAACATCTTAGAAAAAACAGTGGTGGAATAACTTCACCACGTTAGTTGAGGCCTAATTGGGTTTCGTTGCACCATGTTCAGTGTGATTATACTATGTTTTTAAAACTATAAGTTAGCTCTGAATCTGCATGGGCTGTTTGCCTGAATGATCATGTGACATTGCCTGTCATCATTGTAGCGTGAAGAGGAGGCCTATATAAACATCTTGACTGCTCATGTCAGTAAACAAACTGTGCTCTTTGACTACACTGACTGATTATGAACATAGAAGAGACTAACTCATCTTTTGTTCGCCCTGCACTATTTTACATCAACGGGTTTTATAACTTTGCTAATGGTAGATATTATTACATTTTCCTCTGTTTTGTTTATATAATGACTGTCTTTGGAAATGTGGTTCTTCTCCTGATTATTTTGCTGGTCCGAGCTCTTCATACACCCAAATACATGATAGTGTTTAACCTGGCTGTGACAGACCTTTGCGGCAGCACTGCTCTTACCCCAAAACTCTTGGACACCTTTCTGTTTGACAGGAGATACATCTCCTATGAGGCGTGCCTTAGTTACATGTTTTTTGTGTTGTTTTTTGGCAGCATGCAGTCCTGGACACTTGCTGTAATGGCATTTGACAGGTTTATTGCTATATGCTTCCCTTTTCATTACCACAGTATAGTAACTAAATCAGCTGTCTCGGGGATGCTGCTGTTTGTCTGGTTGCTGGCTTTCATCATCATGGGAACTGTGGTGGGCCTCGTCAGCCGCCTCTCTTTTTGTGCGTCTGTGGTAGTGCAGAGTTTTTACTGTGACCATGCTCCAGTGTATCGTCTCGCATGTAGCAGCACAGTAGTAAATCAGAGGCTCGCCCTGTTTGGTGGGATCATTATTTTCTTGGTTCCTCTGGCTCTGATTGGGTGCAGTTATTTGAGTATTTCTTTTGCACTAAAAAGGATTGCCAATGGAGGAGAGCGCCTTAAAGCTCTCAAGACCTGCACGTCCCACTTAATGCTAGTGGCCATATTTTTTATACCGCTTACTACCACAAACATAGCTATCTATTTCCCAAACTTTCACCCAAACACGCGAATGATCAACTCTACGTTGACACACACAGTGCCATCTCTACTGAATCCTTTTATCTACTCTCTTAAGACTGAGGAGGTGCTAACGGTCATTGAAAAGATCTGTAACAAATTTAAACCTTGCAGAAAAAAGTAGTATAATTAATTGTACATATTATTTACAGAGAAAATGTAAAAAATGTAATAAATGTCCCCTAGTGCTTTCTTGGGTGTGTCTTGTTGTCTGGCAAACATACAAATTAGCCAAGCTATAAAAAGTCAATTTAGGCTACATTTAGCATATTTGCATATATTATTTTAAAAATCATCAGTCACATAGCCTACATTTATTAACATGTACTTGAGCACCTAGAATCTTAGTGTTCACATACATTTCCAGTTTGTAACAGAGAAGCCTTTTCTAAATATTGTCATAACTGTTAGTTTTTAATGCTGGCATATCTGTTCCACCTCTGCACATTGTCATGTTTGAAACTAAAACTCACAAAAAATTAATAAAGAACATATACATTTTTTGTACATCAATTGTTGATCTAGACTTTTTCTTATCCCATGTTTGGTTGCACCTATTACACATAATTGCACTGTGCAGGCTAACAGGGCTTCAACGACATGAAGTTACATTTACGGCTATCTGGTTCCCTCTAGTGGCCATTATATGAAATGTTCAAAACACGCATCGACAAAACGTGTTAATTGCCAGCCCATCCAGAGTAGGGACCCATGTTTTTCTGTGTTCTTTAATGTAATACTACCACAATGAAACAAACAAATAAACAAACAAAAGTTGCATACTGTGCTTTAACATATGAAAGTCAAACATGAGTGTATTGCATAACTATATAATGTAACATTAAGCTGTTTTTGTCACCCTAACCAGATACATATTTACAGCGATAACTGATACCTAGCCAATAAGATCTCATTAATAAATATCAGAGACAATGCACATTGTACTGTGCCTTGCAGGAAATAAAATTGTCACAGTGAGGGTATGGAATTTTTATTTCACATTTCATAAACATGATTTATCCATGTCCCCACACATGCTCAGTTGAAATATTGCTGCATACAAATGCATGATTGTATGACACAATATTGATTTATTCTTAATTACGGAACCTCTGTACATGATGTCCACAGCTGTTTAGATTTGTAGTTGTCATCCTATCAGAAAGCAGAATGAGCCCCCCTGAGTTTCTCAATTGGGATGCCAGTTTTTTTTAATTTTAATTTTTTTTATTACATATCCCACTTGGAAATAAACATAAAAGGACTCTGTCTCTCTAATCCTCACTACCGAAACCCCAGCACCTGCAGCCAGTCATTTATGAGTGCTAGTGCAGCATCAGCCTCTGCAGCTCAGTGAGTTTATTCTGGAGGACTGGCCTGTCCATACACTGAGAAGGAGAAAACTGTTCTCTATATGCAGGTTAAGGCACCGCAACATTCCATACCTTATGATTTGCAGTAACCAATATATATATATACATTTCCATCCATCCATCCATTTTCGTCCGTTTATCCGGGGCCGGGTCGCGGGGGCAGCAGCCTAAGCATCCGGAACAGATGCCCGAGCCACCTCAACTGGCTCCTCTCGACGTGGAGGAGGTATATACATTTCCATAAACAATTAACATTGTGTCATACATTAGAGAATAGATTTTTAACCCAATTTTTCAGGAAACCCACCAAAATATCATATGAGAAGCAAGCTATAATGAATTATTATAATCCTCTCTTATCTATTAAAAATTAAATAACTAAATAAGCAATTCTCACCACAATAAGCCTGTGGTTTGGTTATGGAACCAGTGGGGCTAATGTCTGCGTAAATGAACCCTATTTTGCTTCATTCTATATATACATGGTATTTAAAAGTCACAGTTCTGCCATAAAAATTACCATTCTTTCCTCCATTACATTGTATATTTACACTAAATTGATATTGCTTTTATTGCCCAAATCTTCTGTTTCCTCACAATAGCTTTAAACCTTACTTTGATCTCTTTAGTTTTCAGTGAGTAAACAATCGGATTCAAACAAGGTGCGACACAGGAAGCCAGTGACAAACACAAAACCCGGTGGTCTGGGTGAATCCCTCCAAAATAAAAGCCATAAATATAAATTATGAAAAGAGGGAGGTAAAAAATACCCACTAGTATGACATGCTCCACACATGTACTTAAAGTTTTGATTCTTCTAACAACAGACTTCATATTGAACACTGTTATTATTATGGAAATATAAGTCATGACGATGAAGAGAAATGGTAAAACGAGCAATAGAATTGACAAAAGAGATGCTGTATAAAAGTGTACTGAATAATCGTTACATGACAACCTATACACAGGGCTGTAATCACAAAAGTAGCTAAAAACTGTAAGCGACCTACAAAAAGACAGCCAAGTAATTATACCCACTGCAAAGGCGACAATTCCTATGAATAGAGACCACGTTACTGCCACGATAAAGGACATGGACTTCAGTGTGTTCACAGAGTTTTGTTGCATAGGAAAGCATATGGCAACCAATCTGTCATAGGCGAGAATAGCAAGAGCACAGGACTCCAAAGACACAAATGTGTAATAGGTGTACATTTGGACCAAGCAAAGGTTAAATGGGATAAAATTGTCTTTGACTAGGAATATTTTGATCATACTAGGGATAATGCATGTACTTAGGATTAAGTCAATAATGGCAAGGTTAACCACTGCTAAGAATTTTGGAGTTCGCAAAGCACTGTTGAAGACTATGACATAAATCACCAGACCATTAAAAAGTACAGTTACAGCATAAACAAAAGCTAAAAAGATAAAGTAGATACTGATCAGAGGTAAAGTCTGGAAACCAATTATGTAAAAACCAGGCGGGTGGAGAAGGACAGAATTGTTCCAAGTAGTTCGAAGATAAGACATAGCCGGAGTCCACTGGGCTCACATGTGAGGCCTGTGTAAGAGAAAATGTAGATTATTAGAAAGTTATAACCAATTATAACTATAGGACATCTAAAAACTCAAACAAGTAGTAGAAACCCTACATTTATCTCAATCTGAATGAGATATTACTACATATTTTAGACTAATCTAAATTGATTAGTTGAACATATTGAGATCAATATTCTCAGAAAAAAAAAGAAAGTAGTAAAAATTTGCTGTTTCAGTTGTTTCATTTGTTCAGCACAAGTGGATACTTCCAGTTAAACACCATACATTATTTTGTAGCAGTACTGAAAGTGTCTGCTAAAATGACAAGGGTAAATTATAGCAGGCATCACATTTAAACAAATAAAAAATAGGTGCAGTTCACTTTTAAATTCAACAACTGACATAACTACACATTCAACAAAATTATTTTAGATGCATACATTATACAGTAGAACATACAAGCAGACAGACATAGACACACAGAACATGAGTGGAATAAGCAATGTAATTAAAAACTGTTGTGAATGGAGCAAAGTGGTTATACTGCACCTGGTCGAGCATCAGGCAACGTCTGGACTGCTGCATGTCGAGTAAAGATGCTGGAGTTATACTTTCCCACAAACCTCCAGGGACAAGGACTTCAGCTCATTATATCAAAGAAACTCCTAATTACAGATTTTAAGTCAAATAAACAATTGTTGTTAAATCTTTGGTAAGTGTCATTAAATCTTCGGTAAGCTTCATCATTAAAGTTATCTGGCAGCCATTTCAGTAGACAGTTTGATTAAATTAAATTACATTATAAAACAGTGTTATTACATGTCAGATAATCTAGGCATTGACATTTACAAAAAGAAAGAACACATTAATAATTCAAACTATTTATTGGGAAAGACATTGAACTGCAGTGCAATGTTCATAAATGTGACCCCAAGCATGTGCTGCTTTCCATGTAGCACATGATCATAAGATATTCCACAGCAACAACTCACTGAGGCCAGAATGGAGAATATCTAAAAGCATGTATCCTTAGACTGTTGCAATTAAGAGTCTCAGTAGAAACCAACACAAGTGTGTAGGTTCAGTTGAATACACATCCAAGTAGCAGTGCTCTTTTTAGCTGGTAGTAGTTTGTGTGTCTTTGGAAAGCTGTTTTTTCAGTTGTTCTTTCCGAGCCTGCTGAAAACTGGACATACAGTCTTTAAAGGTCTGGACCTGTTTCTGACACAATCTCCAGTCTTGGTGCTCAGCCATACACTCCTGCACCGCATAGTGCTGTTCTCCACAGCCGGTGCGGGTGATCATCTGCTCCACCGGGTCATCCTCATCATCCTCCGGTCGGCTGCGGCGGCTGTGTGCAGGAGGTGACTCCATCAAGGACGCACTCAGGAATCTAAAAATCACAATGATGTTACAGGGTGAATGTTTTTTCCATTGTAGTAATTAAAATATATTTAAATAAATCTTTTTTTTTTTTTTTAAACAAAAATAATGGCACAATTGTGTAACTGCAGTATGTAAGTTACTTGTTGTAGTTCCAGATATGGAGTTGTATAGGACACTACTTACGTCTAAAGAAATGATTAAACAGTAATAACAGTTAAAAGTATTTTAATGAAAACACACACACATGCACAAACAAAATGAGTGAAAGTCAAACAGAGAAATGGTTCACTTTTCTGCTCTGAGTGCAACTACTGAAATGTGCTGCATCTATGAAAAGAAACAGAACGCAAAAGGCACCAAGTAAAGAGTAAGTAAATAACTCATTTAATCAACACTGTTTACTGCATTGTGGTTACAAAATAACTGTGATATAACCAGCTGCTCTTCAAAAGGAAGGATATTTTTAATGCTTATTTTATATTTATGAGACTAATCTGAACTCGGCCACGAAAACCTGGAACTGGTTTGTTCAAGAGCACAGCGACTCACTGTGTGTAGTAAAATGACTGTATCACTAAATAAAACCAAAAATGGTCTTGGAGCCGTAATGGATTACCTTTTACTTGTTTTCAGCGACAATGAAGCAAAAATAATCCAAAATGTCTTTCAAACTTCAAGTAACAAGGAGCAAAAACACACGGGGGGCGCATTTCTAAGCAGGACGAGCGCGCAACCGATAAATAATTCCGTCGACACAACGTTCCTCTCCCAAAAGGTCCGGTTTACGGTCCGCTCATATGAAAACGTGTATTACACTGTATTACATAATAATGATTTGATTAGTTGGAAATGTAATAGGGAAAGCTACATCTTTCCAGGAAAACTGAGCCTACAGATTCTTACAGGCCCACTCATTATCTTAAGACTCTTTGCAATTAAGCAATTAAATAGATTAATGATCCAAATCATAATAAACCCAAATCCGTCCCTTCTGAAATAGAACAACTGGAGACAGTGGCTAATGGCTTTGAACACATTTAACAACTTTAACCTAATTAGGCTCCTTCAATAAACAACCAGTGCAATTCAAGCTACTTGGTAAATACATCACTCTGCAACTTATTCAGATACATTCAGCACATTTAACATCATCACTCGGATGTGATTTTGAAGAAACCACTTAAAATGTGCAATTGTGCGTAGGATATATATATTTTTTATTTTTTAATTGGACAGTGTTCTGTTGGGTTGTAAGTATGAAGACAGAAATGCATTTTAAACTGTCATAAACATCAAAGTACTCAAATCAATGTATTTTTGCAATATCACAGCAGCTGTTGCTTCTCAGGGCTTCACAAAAAATCCTAAGAATTGTAAAAATGCAGTAAATATTACATTTTAATTTTAAATTGTTATAATTATATCTGAAGACAGATGTGTGTTTGGGATTGATTATATGACAGAAAGCACAAGTTGCATTTTTAAAACTGTCATATAAACGAAGCGGCAACCAGGGTGCTAACAAACTCAAGTGGTATTACTCTTGAATATCACAGCAGGACGCAGGATATCCGTGTGAGTGGCTGAGAGAACAGAGTGACTGAGAATGACAGATATATGCTGTACAGGAGGTACATACGCTCCGTGGTACAATTGTCACTATATTATGAAAAACGCACTGTCTCCTCGACTGTCAGTTTAATTTTGTTAGTCATTTTTAATTGTATACACATCAAGTTATAACCTTTGTTAGATATTTAGGTATATATTTCGCAATAATATGTACAATACTATTCTTTGGAATATATTTATCACAATGCTGATCTAGGCGCCCTCTGAGGACTTCTCACACGCACACACACTCAGAGCAATTACATCCATTCCTCGCTGGTACACGCGCATAGGTATCTCTTTAGTCATGTATAGGATTTTATTGTCTATAAAAGTGATAGTACATACGACGATTTTATTATAATTAGTACTACACACTATGTGTTGAGAGGTATCTCGCATCGGATTATGATATCTTGAACAAACCATTTGCCACGAGATCACTCTCGAGCGGCCTGAGTAATTCTATAGTACTAGAGCTCCCCTCGAGTATAAACATATTAATTAGATTCTTTAACATCTTTGCTCTTTCAGTAGAGATACACTAAGGTGATTTGATGCCTTAGGTGTATATAGCAGGAGGGACGCATAAGCGGAGGAGTTAAGTAAATAAACATCGGTCTATCTATTCAGTGGTTGAGAATATCACCTGCAATGTATTGGACGAGTCAAAAAAAATCAAAAAAACATTGGCTTGTGTGGGAACAATGGTGTAGACAAAAAATGAACACTTTGACAACTTACCACATTAGTGCTCTGATAATCATGTTTTTGCACATAGGTTGGTGTAACTCGTGCTCGGGTACGTTGTTCTTGAATTCTCTACAATTTCCATACGATGTCCACAAGCAATATCAGATAGTTTGGCCAACTTGCTAGGAACGCAAAAAAAGATGAACACTATTTTTATGGGCACTAATTGCAATTTGGATACTCTCTATAGCTCGGATAGTTGTATTTGGCTCAATTGTTTGTAGTGTAGACTGAATATGCGTTTGACGATGTTGCATCAGTTTAACAAAATACATCTATCTAGAGCGCCAGGTATGTTACAGCATATAAAATAGGGCTATGTATATACTCTCTATGTTATTGTTGAAACGAAGAATAAGAACATATGCGCGCATACCCATTAATGTAACACTAATCATTCATAATATGGGAACTACTAGGATCTCAGCACCTATAAAGTTGAATTACCACACAATGGCAGGTCATGTTACAAATAACGGATAACAGGATTTTCAATTGTTATTATTAGAGAATAAGATATAAGCAAAGAGACTGTTAAAAGGTAAGTATAAATTAGAGAATTTATTAAACAGGTACTCATATCAGAAGTGAAAAAGTAAAAACCATCCACCTATTTAACCAGTAATTGGAAGTACGATTCCTTGAAATTGAAGGATCTATCTTGTACCATGATCCCTTTGTGAACTATGATCCAAGACGCCAATTATATCCTGGACAGATAACAAGAGTCTGCTCCGTGCAGCATTGACGAAAACGCAGGCATTGTAGATCAGATGCGGGTGGCCACGGTGTGGATGGCAACTGAGTCAGCTTAAGTGATTATATACAATTGCAAACGCGCTCACTCACGGATACTGAGCGGTAAAACACTAGCTAGAAGTAGTCAGGTGTTGCAAAGGAAGCTGTATGGGGTGGTGCCAAAAATATGATCTATGGAGAGAAATTTGGTGAGTTAGACGCCGTGTTATAAAGATTTATTAAGCTAGCTGAGTAAGGCACAATTAGTATATTCAAGGCATAGAGACTTCGAGAGATGAGAGATTCTACACGATATAGAAAAAAGCATACATGTTTTGACAAGAACCAGAAATACACTACAAGACTACCGCACCAAGAGGGAGAGGATCGATATGAGCTGTCATAGAGCATTGGGATTTTGTTTATATACAGAGCGAACATTACAACCGTATCGTTGGGATTTCTCATTCATCGAGAGAGATCTGCGATTAGGTCTGAAGACAGTCACAAAAGGAGTATCACCTATGATTATAACAATGATATATCAACAACTGGCAGCTGTGCCCTAAAGTTGTAGTTTATTCAGCTGCACGAGAGTGTAATGTATCATATAGAGGTGTTGTAAGTGTTAATTGATGTCTAATGTTACATGAGAAAAATGAGCTAGCACATAGACTTGAGGGTGATCTATCAGTTATGAACATAACGCCTGAGTGTGGAGCTAGAGAGATTGTTCTACTATAGTCTCAACAATAATTATGTAAAGTTTGCACTAAATTTTGAAAGATCTAGACACTTCTAATAACACTTGTATACTCGAGATTTTTCTACTAATTCTAGTAAATGCTCTCAAGCAGCACCTATCATACTGGACACAGAAAAGTACAGTACTTAAGGAGAGAGTTTATACAATATTATCATCATTAATTTATCAAAACTGTCTTACTGGTATAATTGGTCTGCCTATATAATCATCTTAATTATAGGCCACGCCTTTGTAACCAGAAGAATTAGCCACATGAAGCTCTAGTACATAGAGATTGATCACAAATAAAATGCCCAAAATTGGCCAAAAGACAAATTCATACCACATTTCAGATAAAATAGTAACCTTATGACATTATATGATAAGATATGTTTTTATAAACTGAATATACATACATTAACATAGACTAGGAATAAAATCATTGACTTCTTCATTGCATCATTGACTCACCTGATTGTGCCCTGTGTTACTGTGTGTGTCCATTTGCAGCCATCGTCAGAACTCATGGCCCCTTCTGCCAGAGATATACCCTCCATGACAATCTCAAGAGGTAAATGTGCTAATTAATAACAATGAACTCAAAGTTTGTTTCATTTGAGAAACAAACTTTTAATTATGTTTTTGAAGATCATCTTTGGGCTTGTTAAAAGTACTACCACTATAGTATGATAACACAATAATATGACTACCACTGAAACCGGTCACAATACAGTAATCTGAATGGTTTATCATTTTCTCTATTGAGACTTCAAATAGTTGTAGCCAGAGAGAGTCCAAAAGTACGTCTCGAAGGAATGTTTGCTTGAGAGAGTAAATTCTAGCCACTATATTGTTAAACTTCGACATGCGCACTCATCCATTACAGGTTCCCCTGCAGGCGTTTGCACGCATGGATTTCTAGTCGTGCGGACCTAGATATGTCAAATGGAATGGAAAAAGTCGCCAGTAAACTCTGAACCTTTCGCTCTCCGTTTTTCCTGCTCTACATGGTTTTAATGAGTTATGTATCATAATATGCTGAAATGTCCAAACTCGTTCTATAGTTTCTTGTAAGTGGCTTACTTAATAAGTGCTGATGCTTGGTAGTGCAGATGAGAACTTGAAGTTCTATCAGAGCTGAGATAGCTTAGTAACAAATCACTAGAATAATAAGATTGATTGTTGTTGTGTTGAGTTTGTAGTTGATTTGTCAGTTTGGTTGAGATTGTCAGATGAGAGGTAGAGAGTTGCCTAGGCCGTATTGTAATCATTTGAGTGCTTTTATTGTAGAAGTTATATCAGATTTGACTCCTGCCCAACCTAGGGAATAGTTTTCATCTCCACTGTAGCATCTGTTCGAGTCACGCACCACTGTCCTACAATTAATTACTGCCACAACCACTAAAAAATGGACATAGTTTATTCAGAATTGACAGTCAATATTATTATCAACTGATCACCGATGTAGTCCTCCCAACAAATCAAAACTTCGCTAAAATAGACAATAAGCCATGTGACAACAACCTATGAGTGTGATATATCTCAGAGCATGAAAAACTTCATCTTATAACTTCTCTCAATTGGTTGATTTATTGAGAGGTCCAGAATATATTTGATGATTCAATTATGTTCAACTAATGTTCATCAGACTAAGTGTCTACAAGTATTGTATAAAAGTCACCAAAGTAACTGCTATCAATACTTAAATCACACTATCAGATAGGGAGAGGGACGTAACAGAGACCATTTAGGGTTTTTATCCTCACTTGTGTTGTATATGACTCTAGAGTTGTTCCTTTATAATTAAGTAAATTAACAATGAATTAATGAAGTTATAACTGCGGTCAGATTGTATCATACACATCTTAATCATGACTCTATCTGTACAAGAGTGAGTCTA